CCCGGGCAACCGGCCTGCAAATCAGTATGTCATTGCTTAAGACAAGTAAGTTAGTAACCCTCGTGATTATCACCCGTAAAATCGGTAATAATAATATAATAATAATAAGATTCTTATATGGCGCCTTACATTCTATCTCAAGGCGCCTTACAATAATGGCTAATATACTAAAATCATTAAAATGACTACAATATTTTAATCATAAACTCTCATTGGAAACCATTTAAAATTTACACTACTAAAAATCAATCCTATTAAAAAAAAAAAAAAAAAACATATATATATTAAAACAAAATCTAAGAGATATAGACAGAATTAAAAAAGTGGGTCTTTAAAAGAGATTTAAAATTGTCAAAGTCTTCTGTTTTCCTAATAAAATTTGGTAGACCATGTTATTAGTTACCATTGTGGACACTATTTGTAAATAGAGTTTCAAAGGCAAGATCCGAGAAATACCTGTAAATAGACGCGTATTTGTACAGCTGAAAGGCAGAGACGTTTATCCACAATTCCAGCTGAATACAGTCGAACGGATAACGCAGCATTATTCATGGACCCACTATTGCGAAGCAAACGCGTGTAATTACCGGGTAGCACATTAAGTATCTCTTTAAACGAAGAAGGACATTTTTTCACTTGGCGTTCAGGTATGGCGGCTGGGGTGGCCGGAAACTTCTTTAAATTTTATCTCGCCTCTCTCTCTCTGAATGGGTATTAAAAACAAACATAATACACAAAGCTAACTATCATTTTCTACTGTCGATTTTTGTCTCCAGTAATCTTGTTATTTGTCATCATAAGTGTTGACCGTTATAATTTATAGATATAAATGGAGTAGATAAAGAATTTAACAGAGTGAGTGTATTACAATTCTTTGCAAACGTATCACAGGCCTTTTTGTTAATTCATATTCATGTAGGATATAACCATGGAAGAGGAAGAGAGCCTGGAGAGAGAATTCGCTACAGGTACAACAGCGCATGGATTCTCCCGAGCGGCAGAAACCAAAAGTATTTTCCGCCGATCAGCTTGGATTCTGCTCATCTTGGGCGGCCTCGGTATGGCGACCTGGATGATTTCCCTACGAGTTATCAATTATTTTCAATATGATACTTCTACGGAGATTACTCTTACCTTTGAGCCCAGGATGGCTTTTCCTGCGGTGACTATCTGTAATTTTAACAGGTAAGTGCAGAACTTAAATATCAAAGAGCAGCATGAGTCAGAGAAGAATTAAATCAGCTGTGTTATAAGAATAAAGTAATTTTTTCGCCAATCAACAGCTTAATATTGAAACTGTTTACCAACAGTATTAAGTTGTTGATTGGAAAAAAAGAAAAATTACTTTATTCAAAGAGCATAAATTTTAGTATTATTGTTCCTCCTAATAATATACTTGACTTAATAATTTTTAAATAAGTTGTCCAAGTTTTGATGATTGTACAATAAGCGTGAGCTGGAGGAGTGAACTGGCCTTTCTATACGATTACTAATAAAATAAAAAAAGGTTGAATATATATTTTTATTTCTCGTCAAAATTCTAAAAATGAGAGTTTGTCTTACGCAATTGTATCCCTTCCTCACAGTAATTATGTTGTATAAAATCATATACGCGAACCCACGAACAAATTTTTTTGGCAACAGGTACATGAGAAGAAACCTAAATGCTGAAGACTACGCCATCATCAGTTTGACAGAGGATGTTTACTCTGGCTACGACAGCGGTTACTCCTATGGACAATATTACTATAACTACAATTACTATTATGACTATTCAGGGGAAGGGGAATCTTCTCCGAGCACCACAACGCAGCCTACAAACAGTAATTTTAACGAGAGCTGGGCGAATATTTCCGCGAGTTACCCAAACGGATTTGACTTTGGCAATTTCACTTTGGAGAAAGGGTGGAAACTGGACAATATTTCCGTTCTGGAATGCACGTTTAAAGGGATAAAGTGCAACTTAAAGAAGGACTTTATCCACACCTTCTCCACATATGGGAACTGCTATACGTACAACCCCTCTCTGAATAGCAACAGGTCCCGGTATCAGGATCAGCCTGGGCTGGGAAACGGCTTGCATTTAACGATTGATGTGGAACAGGTTGGTGGTAGTAGTAGTAGTAGTAGTAGTAGTAGAAGTAGTAGTAGTAGGCCCGTAGCCAGGGGGGTTCGGGGGTTCGAAAGAACCGCCCTTTTTCTCAGGAAAAGGTCCATTCTGGGCAAAATTTGATCTAGATCACAAAGGTTTTATTGAAAAAGGTCCACTTTTTCAGAAAAAGACCCCCCCTTTTGAAATTGCTGGCTACGGGCCTGTAGTAGTAGTAGTAGTTTATTTCCGTGAATGTGTAGCAACACAAACAAATAAAGGTAATTCGCAATCTAAAAGCACACAAAATACACAGACCTTATAACCCAGGTGCTGCTTATAAATAACCTATCCATGTAGGTACTATGAATACGCTTTGTACATTAAGTCTACAACAAAAACTAAGGGTCCTTCACACAGCTCATGTACACTGTTAAAGTTGAATTAAAGGTACATGTGTGTAGACAGAACTTATATATCTCTAATTTACGGCGGTTCGAAATGTTTGATTGTGCGTTTCAAATTCATGCCAAATGGACATACCAAGGGATGTTATGTGACCGTGTCGATATGCTGATCATTGAAGCCCGTCCATTAAGCCAAGCTTCAGTAAAGATCGAGGGCAACCTCGAGCCACTACCCAGAAATATCTCGCTTCACTCGACATTTCTGCGTTGCGTCTCTCGGAAAACTCGGATTTAAAATTGATGTAGTCTCGAATTTCACGACTGCATCTTGGTTAAATCAGTCGAGGTCTGTAAAATGCTGAAAGCCGAAGACAGAGCTTTGCATGCAACCTTCTTGGCATCAAGAGAATAGAGAGAACAAATAAAGTAATTCATCATTCAACAGGTTTTAGTCTAAATCTGGATGCTCGTGGATCGGATTGGGCGGTTCAACACATTGTGTTGGCACCCATTGAAAAAAAAATCGAAAGGAAACATCAATATTAAGTTAACAGTGTAATAATATTTTACATAATTAAACCGACTTTTGTTTTATTTGTTAACAGAGCGAGTACACGGAGAGTTTACCTGACGGTAGCGCGCAAACAGGGGTCATATTCCAGGTCCATCCTCAGTGGGAGCCGCCTTTGGTGGAGTCCAAAGGCCTGGGCGCCTCACCTGGCTTCCACGCCTTCGGGGCGTTGAAACGACAGGAGGTAAGCTATAGCCTGAGACTGGGTACCCATAAACCTGTCGTACTAGCAGGATCGATCTAACTCTAAGGGGATTCTCACTCAATTGCATTCAGTTTAAGCGGCTTAAATGTCTGGCACGCCCATTGAAGCTGTTAGGGGGGTTATTAACTTTCGTGCACGGTTAAACAAAATGCAATTTATCAAGAAACCCCTCGGAAATATATCGATCCTGCCAGTACAATATGGTATGGGAAGGGTCCCTAGGCCATTTCTTCTCCTAACGTTCAAAATTTTTCTGTCTAATGAGTTTTTACTCCGATTAAATGAAGGAGCCGTCAAAACAGGATTCCTTTCGGCTGTTGGTCATAGCGCTGTCTTAGACATTACATGTATATGGACACAAAAGACAATTTAAAAAATCACGAATACTGGTGAAAGCATGGTATATCCCACCTTAACTAAAACTAATCCTTGCTGAGTTGAACAAAAAAGTAATTTCCATTTCCTTTCCAGGAATAATAATAATAATAGTAATAATAATAATAAATATTTCAGACTGTCAATATAGAACCGCCA